ATTTAGCCATTGTTTCTTAGCTCTGGCACATGGAGATGTAACGACGGCCCACCAGGACCAGTTCAACTGACCCCATCTTATCAACGAGCAATTGAGAGTTGCTTTTCAGGAACTGAGAGTTGATCTCTTGTCCAGTTCAGACCAGTTGAGACCACCAACCCATCAACTGGGCCTGTGCAAATGCCCAATAAGTGACCCTTTTGACATCAAGGGGCTGAGAACTCCACCTGCAGGTCATATTGACACCACCATCTTGTGAACGTGCGTCCTACGAAGAGCCATGGAGCTTGACTACACTTGTGCAGATCGTCAACTACCTCACTTCTCCTCACCTCCGATCCCGTCTCCACACTTCAGATGGCCCTGCCCTGCATCCCATAAATTTCGCCCCAAGCCCCGGATCAGGGAGACAGACTTGAGAGCATTGCCTCCTGTCTCCTTGCTGGTTGACCTCGCAATAAAGCTACTTCTTTTCTCAAAAGCTGATGCTGTAGTAATTGTTTTCTTTATGTGCATCAGGCAGAGAAACCCCACTTTGTGCAGTAACAGAGAGTGGTTCCAGATGTTCCCTCCCCCTACGGAAGAATCTGAGGTAAGAAGTAAATGCAAGTTCAATAAAAAGAAATTTAAACACGCATAAAGAAAGATTTCCTGACAACAAGAGCAATTTTTTTAATTTAAAAGGTAACATTGCTGTGTTTTATATGGAAATGTTACAAAAATTACATTTTGAAGGGCCTTTAAATGTGGTAAGCAGCACTTGTCCTGCTTGGTTGGGCATAAGGAGCTACACTGGTTATTCTTTTCAAAGCCCACAATTCTGCTATGTAAAATTATATTTCTCCCTGCCAGCAGCTCGTCAAGTTCCACAGAGATTCTGTATGGAGGGCCCTGGGTGTGCAATGAGACACACAGCTCTAAACCTCACAGCACTCTTTCAGAACAGACTCCTGCTCCCTCCCAGGTCACACTGGCCTACACAACAAACAAAACTTTTGTTTTTTGTTTGTTTTCACATTTTTATTTTAACTAGTAAAAGTGGTGATGCCAGTACAACCGTGGAAATGCAGGTTGTGCCCTATTTTGCCTTATGCATCATGAAGAAAATTGCCAGCTCAATTCTCACTCCAAAGTCTTTATTGTGACGACGTAGTGAACAAAAGACACAGTTTGATTTGCAAATGCCAGGCAAGGCCAGTGGTGGGGCCAACTGGGAAGAAAATACTGTTTTGAACCAGTTTATTGTCACTGAAGGAAAATATTCATAAACTGCCAGGCACGTGGAATATCCCGATGTGTGTTCACTTCGTTTTTAGAGACTCTTAGCATTGAGGAGGATCTTAGATCTCATCTAGTACAATCTTCCACACAAGCAGAAAGCCCTTTCTTGAGCATCTACGTCTGTTTCTTTACAAACTCTTTCAACATTTGGTGAAATTTCTACTTCTAAACTAGGTACTCCATTAAATAAAAAGTAAACTTTTACTAGGTTTTTCTTATACTGGGGAAAAAATATGCATCCTTAGACTTTGTTCCCATTGGTCCCAATTTAGTCCTAAGGTTTGGAAGATAAAACCAAAATGTACAAGTGTGTGTAATAGTGTGTGTTATACATGCAAAATGGGTGGCTAAAAAAATGGGAACATATACAAATTACTCAGGTAAAATACAAATCGAATGTGCGCGGTTAAACTTTTAAAATCCAATGGAAACTTCTGATATGGCTGAAATGATGAAGGACAACAGGCTAATCATAATGTATCTAAGAGGCTAAAGAAGGAGGGCCACAGTATTAGCTTAACATGTTGAGCCACAACATTATTCTGTTTGGAAGGGTTGAGGTTGGTGTGAAATTCCAGGTTTCACAGCTGGTGAGAAAAGACCAGACCTTGAGTCAACGATCTGAGAACAAGAAGTTTACTTGGGAGGTGATTCCAGGAAGCACCAGTAAGGTGGTGAGGAGAAGAGAAAAGGAAGGGAAGGCAGCTAATAAAACACATCATTACACATATTACCACTATGGACAGCTAGAACTTAATCCCATGGAGGAACCCTGTGAAACAGTATAAAGTTCACGTCTCAGGGTTATCCCACCTAAGGGGTGAGGGAGCTAGGGTATTTATACTCTGGCTTATGTCAGTTGTGTATAAACAAATGTTTTCACAGCTGGTGGGAAGAGACTAGACCAGCGGTGTCTCAGTGTAGGTTCCCTCAGAAGCGGACCTGGAGTCAAGGATTCAACTATAACTGTTCTTTTGGGAGTTGATAGAGAAAGTAGAAGTAGGGGAGCAGGGAGGTGAGACAGGGAAGCAGAGTCTGCTCCTGGAGTATTAACTTCCTGGCACCACTGGCCTGCCTCTCACGCAGGGCAGAGGGCCTTCCACAGTTCTGGCAAATCTTGCAGACACAGAGGTGAAGATCCCAGCAGATGGAAGTTGTCCAGACCATACACACAAAAAGAGTCTGAGGGATATGGGCGGGTCACTGAGAACTCATTAAAGTGATAACTCATTAAATAACTCAGCAAAGTAAAAATACTGATCATGTATCTAGTGTAGTAGACACCTTGGAATTTTCAGTCAAATCTATCCAAAATAAAAAGTCATCTTGCCAAGCAGAAAGGGCGGGGTCTGGGTTCTGGGTCAGCCCCTGGTGAGCTTTAACACCTTGCATGAACTTGGACAGGTATAAAAAGGAGACAAGATCACCTGTCCTAGCCCTCCTACATCAAGCTATAAGGATAAAATGAGATAACATACAGGAAAACCCTTTGAAAAATAGAGAGTACTGAACAAAATACAAAGTATAAGGCACAATGATACGCGCCCAACTGAAACAAGAATTTTAGTTCATATTTTAGACAAATTATATTTCCTTTAACTTGAGACTTTCATCAGAAAAAAAAGTGAACAGTAGATCATAGCACATTTAGGATTTTCTCTGGAGCCTCATTCTTTGTTGTTGTTGACAGGAAGATGGCAGCAAAATGTGCTGATGACTCTTTTCTTAGATATAATGAGCTGTTGATGATTTGTGAACCCATCCCTGAGTTACAGGAAGTCTACAATAGTGCTCCCTGGCGAAAATTTCATAATTGTCTTTGTATCAGTGAATATAAAGCTATATTTTCAAAACCAAACAAGGCACAGAAGATAAGAGAAGTTTTCCCATTTCCTTTACTTACTATTCTGTCCTAGATCAACTAATTTTAAGTAAAAATATTAAAGGCAGTGGAGAGAAGTAGGACTTCTTTCAGCTTCCACATCTCTATGGGCTTTTGAAAGACAGAGATATACTAGATTATGTGTGTTTTTAAGTCCAGGGTTCAGCCTAAATTTTGAATTTTGTTCCCCACCATGAAGTTTCTAAGATAGGAATTTTCCATTCATTCCCTCTATGGAACATCAACAGCCTCAGAGCCACTCAGGAACACACTGGAAAGGACTATATCTTTTCAACTTATTTTTAATAACAACAATAGTCATAGGGAGAAAAAAGACCAAATCTCTTCAGGACTGACTCTGTGCTTGGCACTGAGCTAAGCAAATCATTGGATTCTAACATTTAACTTTCCCAACAAATCATTAGATATGATTTTTATCTCCATTTAAACATGAGAAAATTGAGCAATAAAACCTTTTTAATGCCACTTCAAAGAAGAATTTATACATTTGAAAATGACAAGGATAACTTATGGTTCAGGACTGTCTCATGCTGAAAAGTCCCTTCAGAACATGCCAATATCTCCTTGCTGAGAAGCATAGGTGAGCCAGCCTTCACTATTAAACAATGATGACATCAAATCTCTCTTTTGGGAAGAGTGCTATCATCAGTACAAAAGAGAAACAGCTCTCCATCCACAGCTCTGCAAGCTCTCTGTAATGAGTGTGAACATTTGGACAAGCTCCGTACATCCACGCACTTGGTTTCCCATCTAGGGGATAAGATCAGCCAAATCGACACCTGCCATAGTTTAGATGGACAAGTCCTTTGCCACCACCCAACGTGCTCCTTTTCCTATTTTTGAACAATCTTGACATACTCTTTCAGGCACAAGAAAGCACAGCAATTCAAAATGCCCTAATTTTAACCTGGGAAGACTCAAGAAGGTGAAAGGCCAATCACAAAAAAATAATAATTGCTGAAGATGATAATCAACATTTATTGGGCACTAAGTTTGCTCAAGACACTGAGTAAAGCCCTTGACATGGGTAATCTCAGTGAAACTTCACAATGCCCCTATGTTGGAGGTATTACTGTTATTTCTATTTTACAAATGAAGCAACTCAAGTTTAGAGAAGCGAATTAACAGACCCTGCCTGCATCTATCTGATTTAAGCATCAAAACACTCAACCGCAAAGATACCCATGGATGCAGTAGGACCTCATTAAATTAAAATACCAAAGTTTGAAATTACTTAATTTCACTTGGTGAAGATCCTATTTTGGTGAAGACAATATTTTAAAATCGATTTTACTATTTCATATGGCTGTAAATAAGTTAAGCAAGTTAAAAAGACTATTTGCAATAGACCTGTACTACATAATAATTTGTCAAAGACATAAACACAGAAGCACTAATTTCTGGGATTAAAACTTAAAGACATATAGAAATTCTCAAGTTATTGACTTGACAAATTCACTTATACTTAGGTTTTGTGTTGTGCGTGTGTGTGTGTGAGTAAAATCCTGAAATGCTACCAATTATTTCACCATAACTTATATCTACTCTAATGACGACCATTCTGAAGGCTGGCATTCTGAATTTAGGAAACCAGAAGCTACAAGGCCACTATGTCTAACTATACCTATGCACTTTTGACTATCCGTGCTCCTAAATAGGTGCACAAGGATGTGGTTAACCATGGGAACTATTCCTTTAAGGGAATTGAAGAAGGGCATACAAATTGAGCCATGTAGTGCCATCATTTCGCAAAAAGCACAGTTGTGAATAGGGCATGGATTTAATTCCTCATGTTTTCCTGTGATAACCACTGTACCTTGACTTTCTTGAATGCTTAGCTCAGGTGGTGGTTCCAGAATGTCATCGGGATGCGGGATGCAGAGTCCGTGGAAGGGCCCCAAGTCAAAGCACTCATGCAGGAGCTGCATGTTCACCCTTGAGCACACACTCATGAACCCGACAGCTACACCTTCCACCTGAAACATCCAAAACATCTCATTACTCTATCAGACCTCAAATGAATTCTCATCCTGAAACTTCCATTTGCCTGCAGCATAAGGGTGGTTGGTAGTTTGGCAGGCACATATTTAAGGGAGGGAACACTGTCTTCCTTTGGTAGCTCTAGTGTCCGGCACAATGCATGGCACACAAAACATGCTCAAAAATGTCTAATGAATAACCACTGTGGACAATCTTGGAAGCAGATACATAACCGGGAAGTTACCAGAGAGCTCTTGAGGGAAAACTATTTGGAACATAACACGTACCCTCTTTGCCCAGACAGTTTAACTTGAGACTGCCTACCCCACATCCTTTTTATTATCCCACTGTAAGTCCAGTCTTCCTGTCCACTTTCCTCCCCTCCACCATGCACAGTTCTCAGTAAGACCAGCCATTGTTCCAGTGTCCATCTGATGGACCCATGATTCAGAGAAAGTTCATGGTCACTCACTCTTTATCAGGTAGGAACTCTTTGATTTTCCTGAATCTACTTATTTATTTGATTGAATGGTCTCATGGGGAGGAGATGTGAGGAAAGAGGTTTGGTGGGAACATTCAAGAGAGGTATACTCATAGCACAGGTTCACCATGTGGGTCTGATTTGCAAATGCATCGCCCCCCAGCATCCTAACAGATACCTGATTCTGAATCTCTTGCAATGGCCCCACGATTTTAGGCCTTTGGTGAGGAATACACAGGAGAGAAGATGTGTGTGTGGTGTGATATACTAAGAAATATATATTTGGCAGTCATCCCTGGTTCCTGGCACAAACCTCCTAAAACACTTGCAATTTCCTAAGAGATTTCCTGTTTTTTCATAATAAGCCCCTTTCAGTGATATCTGAGTTTATGCTAATAAGGTGACTCTTGGAGAATTGGGGCTGGTTGTCAGAGGAATCAACGATGTGATTAGAGGGTTGGAACTTACAGCCCCACCCTCTGACCTCTAGGGAGGGGAGAGGAGCTGGAGATTGAGTTCAGTCACCAATGGCCAATGATATAATTAATCATTAATAGCATCACCATAAAAACCTCTAAACAATGGGATTCGGGAGCTTCCAGTTGGTCAACACACTGAGGTGCTGGGAGGTGATGTCCCAGACAGGAAGCTCTCCCCCTTCCCCGACACCTTGCTCTATGTATCTCTTCCATTTGGCTGTTCCTGAGTTGATCCTTCACAATAAAACGATAATAGTAAGCAAAGTGTTTCCCTGAGTTCTGTGAGCAGTTCTAGCAAATTATCAAACTCAATAAGGGGTTGTGAGAACCTCTGATTTATAGCCAGTCAGTCAGAAGTACAGGGGACAACCTGGGACCTGCGGCTGGCATCTGAAGTGGGGGCAGTCTTGTAGGCCTGAACCCTTAATCTGTGGGGTCTGTGCTAACTCTGGGCAGTGTCGGAATTGAACTGTAGGACATCTAGTCGGTGTCCGGAGAGCTCAAGAATTGGTTGTTATAGGGAAACCCTATACATTTAGTGTCAGAAGTGCTGTGAATAGAGGAGAAAAGTTATCTTTCAATGAGTAATTAGCTGATCTGCACCTATTATTAGTACTGAAATATTACAAATTAACAATGAAATTTAATTCTATCATATTCCACATCGAGAGATGACTGTGATTGAAATTGTTTATTACGTCCCTTCAATAAGTCCGTATTTCATTCTTCTCTGCAAGGAAAGCATTTAAAATTTTAAAAGAGAGCAAGGGAGAATGCATATTTCTTTATTTAACTCATCTTCTTGTGGTAATTCTTTTGCAATATATACATAGGTCAAATCATTATGTTGTACATCATAAACTTATACAACATCATATGTCAATTATATCTTAATAAAATTGGGAAGAAAGAAAAATAAATAAATTTCACAAAAATAATTCTTGTTGATTTAAGCAAATTCGGGTTTTAAACAAATTCTAGTTGACTGATTTGACTCTGACAACTCTTTTTAGAAACCAGCATCTACTGAGTCCTGTCCCTCAGGTGTTCAGACTTTATTTCTTGAGACAACCATCCCATTCAGGCAGTGGAAGAACTCCACAATCATAGGCACTCCCTAGTCCCAGGAATTAAGCATCATCCCATCAATGGCCAGTAGGAGAAAATGGTTACTACTTTAATCTAGTAAAGCAGAGAATTAAGCCACAACAATGTTCAGTCTTTTGAATGACACAGAGAAAAACTAGATATTAAACTATTTATTCTCAAATGTGTTGTCTAGTTTAAAACCATTTGTTTTCAAACATGTGTTTGAAAAATAAATGTGAGACTCCCTTTATTTTCTCCCTAATGCTGAAATACAAAGGGAATTTTAAAAATTATTTTTTCCATGCATATTCTTTACTTTACAGGCCCCCCAAAATGATACTAGCTGTAAAAGGCTGGATTTACACAGCTGTTTTATAAAGCCATTGACACTTTAATAAAAGTCCAAAATAAACATTTTAATTTTTTTCCCAAATAACAAGTGATTGTTTGTCTTGTTTGCACGCGTGAACAAAGGCTGCGTAGCCGCAGTTGTCTGGCTTCTCTGTAATTTTAGGCCCAAGACTCAGCAGACGCTGATTAACCAATCCATCTACCATATGTGCAGAAAGAGACGGCCAGCCTCACTCTCGGCAGGGAAAATTGGCATCCATCTTGGTTCACATGGAGATGTCCTTCTAATCTACAGCCACGCTGGCGCAACAAAACTTCGATGGCCTGAAATACCTTTTGCTGGCTTCATGGCGAGCTGCATGTGCATGATAAGAATGTATTATTTATAAGACCGCTGTTAGTAATGAGCTATTACACTAATGGCTCATTGTGTTTGGGATTTGATTTCAAATGGCATGGATCACACATTCTGATGAAAATGAGAAAAACATGTTTTGCCATTAGGAACAAAGATTTAACGTTCTCCAATTCTACAACCTGTTATATTCCCATCATTCATCCCAGGTTGTGACAATTCACAAAAGTTCACAATTATAGACTGCGACAGAGCAAGGACATATTGTGGAAGTGTCTGCTTTTTCCTTTGGGTTTCTTTCAAATAACTATTCTGATTTGAGAAACACTGTTCTGAAATAGGAACTTGTGGGAGCATTCAAATGCATCTTTGTGTGTGTGTTTTCTGAAAAAATAAATTGACTTAATGGACTATTTTTTTACTTGTACAATAAAAACACATTAATTACTGGCTGCTATCTATTCTCCAGGTGGCAGAGGTACTTTCCACTACAAAGGTGTCTTCAATTTTCTTATACTGCAGAGCAAAACTGAAAGTTTTGTTGTTGTTCTTGTTTTTCCTATACAGATCTACAGGATAATACATAAGGCTGAGATTGTTAGAAATCCATATGTTCAGTGGCCTTGTCTTCACAAGCAGGTGCATTTATAGACACATGTGCACTGTACCGTTCAGGCTTCCACCTAAAAAGCCCTACGGTCACCCGTCCCTTTTGGGTGACAATACTCCACAATCAGAGTGCCCTCATTGTGACCACTGCCAGCTTTGATCCCCTCTGCCTGATGCCAAAGGCATGGCTGAGCTGGCCGGCTTTACCCACCCACAGGTCAGTGATGCCTACTTAGACCAGAGCTACCCATGCTGTGGATGATGCCAAAGCAGACGCTCTGCCCATCTGTCTCTAGGAGCCGCCCTTGGCCTCCAACTGCCCTTCCTTGAAATCTCAGTTTGGAGTAAACACCAGATGTCAAGGTAAGCCAGGATAAAGTTATGAAAAGCAATTTGCAGCAAAGTGATGACTCAAATCTCCTCCAAAGTAACTATCAAGCCGAAGAACGAACTCACAGTTAAAAACCTTTCATTAGTCAAGGGTTTCCCACAGTGCACAGGCACAGCTCCCAGGCATTCTACATGCACGGCCTGTAACTACCATGGGCCAGTTTGAGAAGAGACAGAATTGATGTACTTTGTTCCATTATGTCCGGTCAACTGTGGTCACCTAAAAGCATGGTATGCCGAAAAGCCTCGATTTGTAGCCTTTGCTAATTTCTGTGCTGTAAATACTAACATTGTGGCCAAATTTTAAGCTACCAATGTGATGTCACCAAATAGGCAGTTGGGAAAGGATGCCCAGTAGCCACCATAATATGGTATTTCCACTATACAGAGACCATAGACATAACTAACCTCAAGAGTGTAGATAATAGTAAAATAATTAGGAAGGGATAAGTGTTGAGTATTTATTAACTTTGTTTTTAGTATAGCTTATTACACTGCAAGTTTATAAAATTTAATTTTTAGTAATGGCCGTGTTTAACAACCAGCTTGCAAAGTTCCTGAAGATTTAACAATCGGCTTTCATGAGCCAAAGCAAGCTAGTTCCAGCATACCACCGCCTAAAAGGGTCAGCCTGAGAAAGTCCAGGTCATTGGGAGAAGGGTCCAGGGAGGCAGGTGGGAGCAGAGTGACAGTATTGATCTCGAACCCAAAAGGCTTAAGACACCAGACATGGCTTGGTATAGACTGGAGATCCACTCCCAGATCCTAGACTGGCCTGCTCCCTATTGATGGTTCCTGCTACCGCCGTTCCATTTTAAGATTCTGTGGTCTCCTCTCCACAGAACACAAAGCACCTAATGTCTGAAGCAACACAGCCTCTTGGAGATTGGACTGGGTTCCATTTGCCTCTTTAGAAACACCAAAGGATCCTTGCAGGGTTGGAACTGCAATTTTCAGCCTGCAACTTTCCTCTGAGGTTTACACACTGAAAACGTGTAACACATGACTAGAGAGGGAAAGAAAGTGGGGGAAGAAGTCCCTGAAACTTTACAAGCACTAACTCAAGTGTTTGGTGTTGAAACTAGCACCTTGAAACCAAGGAATTGAAAGCCTTCTCCAGAGTGACATCGGTTTCATGGCAGCACAAAGATGTCCATCATTGTTGTCCCCCCGTTCAATAGCAAATATTCAGCATCCATCCATGAACAGAAGAGCCTCTGGGGGCACTGTCGGCTCCAACTC